TACACTATGTGGAAAATAATGTGTTTTTTTAACCTTAAACCGCATAAACACATTTCATTACACCAAATACACCAAATAATGTTCTTTTTAGCAACATCATATGACCCCTTTAATCAAAGTCCAAAACACTGTTTAAATCCAAAACAATAGCACAGACTGCTAGCTGTCAATGGTACAAATGACCCAAAACAGACTGATGTAAAATCAGTAAAATGATTGTGATTTACTCCATTAAAACACATGCATAATTATTCTAGGCATATAGTGGCCACAAAATGTATTTGCACATATGGATTGTATGGAAATCATTGCATTATAACAAAATATAAAAACGAGTGACATTTTTTAAATAAAGCCAGCACAAGCACACTTTTCACACACAAAAAAAAACACCAAAAGAAGTTTGTTAAATTTTAAATTATATACAAATAGTATTCAACATCTGGTTGTCAAACGTTGATGTCCATCATTCAGTACTATAGAAAGCATAATCACAGCAATGCTTGATAGGGGTAATTCAAAGAGCTTATGACCATCATATAAAAGAGGAAACTGAAGATTTCCCCCCATCATAATTCAATGGGAATGACCAGTTTCCTTATGCACAAAAAACCCTTGTCAGCAATCCTCCTCAATGCACAGAATGACACCATCTCTCAGAATAACATTACATACTAATAACATGCGATTGGCTGAGCTGGTCAAGGTGAGAAAACCGCAATTTAGCTGGTTATCTGCACAGTCCGTTCATACCGCTGTTGTCAAAAGTTTAAGAAGAGTGACGGGCGACTCTTTTTTGTGTTCAGATATAGCACAACCTCACACATCCATAACCGCCATAAATAACATTTACGGACAGTTGACAAACTGCAGAACATATTTTATAGGCTTACTGAACATGTTCATTGGCTTTCCTGTGCTGGTGGGACGTTAGCCGCTGCTAGCGCTGCCCTGCTAATGCTGCCTGGCCTTTTCCTTTGGAAAAAAAAAACAGCTAAACAATTGAACACAAACGCGCATAACCGAGACTCGCGCAACACCAAACACCACTTGCTTGCGAACAACATTGCGTATGTGATGGAATAGTTAATTGACTTACTGTAATGGAGTATTGTGGTATTTGACCGTGTTTCCTGATTCCTCGGTATTCCTCTTTTCTTTGACTGGGGTTGGAGGAGTTGAGTTGGGATTCGGGAGGGGTTTCCGCTCAGCTCCAGTGCTGCCACAGGCTTATAACGTTCATCACACGACCCTCCGAGCCCTGCAGCACTGTGTGTGTGTGTGTGTGTGTGAGAGAGAGAGTGTGTGTGGGGTCAGGAAACAGTACTACTGTATATACCTCCCTGAAATGTCATTATTTCAAAGTAGAAGATAGAGGTGTTCGTTTTATGGTCATTGACTCGAGGGGTGTGGACTCGAGGCTGCTGAGCCACTCTTGTCTAAATTCTCAACTGCTGAAGGGATTGAATACCTCAGTTTTACACACTTTTAAAATACTTTAATTTAAGAGGGGACCAGCCACTCCCTCATACTCAGTGTGCTGAGATTAAATGGATGGTCAGCAGATGTCTGTCTGGGGCACCAAATATCCTTAGTCTGTTTTCAGAGTAAATATGCAAATTTCCTCTGTTCGATGAACACACTCGTGGACTCTGGACTTTTTATACTCTTGTTGATTTACCTTTGAAACTCTGGGTATTTTAAATCTTAAGTATGCAAAATTAACCAAACCTAAAGCTGATTTATGCTGAAGCCCTAAATCTTCAAAAAGCCCAAATCTCTAGGTTTAAAAAAGGAAGTAATGCCTTTGGGTCTCTCAAATTCATTATTTGTTTACAGGGTACTTTTTCCCTGTAGCATTCTATCTATCTCAAAACACTGCTCTTCCGTTCCGATCAAAACATCAAACAGGTTCTCCCCACTCAGTGACGCACCCACTGAGAAACCTGATCAAAGTGCTCTAGTTATTGGCGATTCTATTGTACGGAACGTGAAAATACAGACACCAGCCACCATAGTCCAATGTTTACCGGGAGCCAGAGCGCCTGACATCTTGGCAAATTTAAAAGTGCTGGCTAATGCTAAACGTAAATTCAGTAAGATTGTTATTCACGCCGTGCTAATGATGTTTGACTTCGCCAGTCGGAGTTCACTAAAAATAACATTAAAGAGGTAATATGTAATATGCTCTGGTCCCCTCCCTGCTTACCGTGGTGATGAGATACATAGCAGACTGTCGTCACTCAATGGCTGGATGTCTAAATTGTGCCCGCAGAATAACATAGGTTTCATCGACAATTGGACGAGTTTTTGGTGCAGAACTGTCCTGTTGAAAAGAGATGGTCTTCATCCCTCCTGGGGTGGTGCCGCTCTTCTCTCTAGAAATATGGCACATATTGTAAGAAATTATGTTTATTAAAAATATGAAAATAAACTTGCATAAAAAAAGAGACACATTATAAAATTAATTTCCATGTAGGCCTACCCTAAATAAAAAGGTAAATACCCAAAGTTAAATCTTTATTTCATGAATTTGTTTGACAGACTGACCGACACTTGTCCAACTGCAAGAAGACCAAAAACATGTCTTACCAAGAAAGGAAGAAAGAAGAAGAATAAAAACGCTGAGTCCATCTCTTAATAACATCCAGAATCTTCACACCGCACTGCCGTCGCTTCTGAAAGACCTCTCGTCCAAACGGGCTCGGGACAGGCACCATGTGTTAGGGCTTAATGTGGCGGAAACAACGTGAAAATTCCACTCTGATGATGCAACACTGCCATCTACTGAGCGTGAGAAACTACTGCAACCACAACCCTAACAGTGCAGCAATATTCAGGCAGAGGTCTTCAACCCTGCTCCTGGAGACCCACTGTCCTGCAGAGTTTAGCTCCAACCCTAATCAAACACACCTGATTCACCTAATCAAGTTCTTCGGGACTGCTTTAAAAAACACAAGCAGGTGTGCTGAAGCAGGTTGGAAATAAGCTTTGCAGGACAGTGGGTCCCCAGGAGCGGGGTTGAATACCTTTGAATTATAGGACCTAAAAACTCCGCATGTAGTAACCTAGAACACTGTCTAACACTTAATGGCTGCTCTGTCAATTCTTTGTCATCAGTTAGGAACCTAGGTGTGATATTTGATAGCAATTTTTCCTTAGAAAGGCACGTTTCTAGCATTTGTAAAACTGCATTTTTCCATCTCAAAAATATATCTAAATTATGACCTATTCTCTCAATGTCAAATGCAGAAATGTTAATCCATGCGTTTATGACCTCAAGGTTAGATTATTGTAATGCTTTATTGGGTGGTTGTTCTGCACGCTTAATAAACAAACTCCAGCTGGTCCAAAATGCAGCAGCTAGAGTTCTTACTA